TTTTTTTTTTCCCTTTCTCTCCTTGGCTCATCTCCATGTATTCTCCATATACGCCGCACTGTAATAAGTCTCTGGACTCCTCCTCCCTCTATGACCAAATCTCCAGCATTTTAGCAGCAATCTCAGGCGGGGGTAATTGGGTCTTAAAAAACCAACTTGTCCTATAGCGATGAAGGATTGGTCTTAATTATGGGGAGATTTATTTGGGCCTATTACCTTATAATGGATTATTGCTCGCAAACTTAATGCCTCTGGCCATCCATCACATCCACGTGCGAAGATATAGCAAAGGTATTTTATATAGCTTTTAGAAATGTTATTATTGCACTTAGGGTCAAGTCATTTCACGCCGGAATATGAAAGCGGAGAGATTTCATTTCAGAGAATTCATTAAGAACAATTAATGGGTTTTATAAACCCTTTGCGGTTAAGCGGATCTGATTGCTTTTTTTTTTTTTTTTTTTTTTAACAGTAAGTGAAAAGATTCTAATGTAGATCGTCATCAATCTTGGTTAAGCATTTCCTATTTCAATTTTATGAATTAAATATGTTTATTTAAAGATACAAGATGGTTTAATTTGTCAGTTTGCGGCACCCAAAACTGGATTTTCTTTGAATATTTGCAGCTAAAATTACCACTTTTCTCTTGACTTATCGTTTATAATAATAATGAATAATTTATGCTTGGTAAAACAAATGGTTGTCTGCAAACTCCTGACATGTTTTTATTTTAAATCTTGAAAAAAATGTAATTTAAAGCATAAAATTGTGATCGGTCAAATTAAAAAATTATATAAGAATTAATCAGAAAATGGGGATCTGCTATGGTCAATGTCATGTCTATGAATTAAGAACTTTTTTACAGAACAAACTGTGGTCAATGACTTGCTTAGTCAAGCTAATTAACTTTTAAATTGCACTTTAAGCTGAATAGTATCTTTTAAATAACTAGTAAAATACTATGTATGGTCCTCAGGGCAAAGACAAAAGAAATTAGTTATTAAAGGCCTTTGAAAATGTTATATTTTTAAAATATTTCCGTTAAACAGCACTTGGGAAATATTTGACAGAGTTACAGGAGAGCTAATCCTTTTGTATGTAAGAAGAGAGGAAATGTCTTGTTTTTGTTTGTCTTTTTAACACTTTACATTTTTACCAATTGTCATATTGCACGATAAAACAAGCAAATGACAGCACAATTACAGTTAACTTAAAAGCATAGGTCACCTAAAGATAGAACTTCTGTTAACAGTTGCTGATCCCCAACAACTTGCATAGCCTAGTACATTTTCCAAAATATACAAGTGGGGAGCAGCAACAATGTGCTTTCCCACATTCATCATAAATTTTAGCATAAGAAATATGCTAAATAATTAATAAATTTCATAATTGCCTAATAATCTGTCAATACATAATACTTATTATTATAATAATGATGTAATACAATTTCTGTGATTTATAAACATTTTGTCTTCCTACTGTTTTTTGCTCACGTGTAAATTAAATAATCGATTAATTACCGCATATAGACAAATTCTTCAATTCGTTTACTACATTAGAGGGCCAATGGCGCCTCCTTGTGGAGGTTCATTTCCACAACAGGAAAAGAGCCATATTTTAATAAATGCAGCATTTATATACCATGAATGGCCTCTGATTTGAGATAAAAGTCTAACTGAATAGGAAAGAAGACACATATTCGTATTATTATTTTATTACTATTAAGACTATACACATAACTTTGTGCAGTGGTGTAAAGTTGTAATATGTTGTTGTCTTAATATGAAATCTTGGTTATATAACACGGAATTCATGACTAACAATGGTTAAACACTAGTAAAGTGATAGATTTTTAGAATAATAAGATAATATTACCTTGGTAATGTCACATGTTTGTTGTCTAAAGCTTTAATAAAATAAATAAATTAATAAACATTACTAACAGAAGGTCATTTTCACCCTCTGCTGGCCAATACTTGCAAATGCAGCACACGCTTTCAAGATACTAGTTCAAGTATATACAGTACAACAAAGGCAAAGCTGTATCATAAACACCTGTTTTACTTAACACTGTTGTTATGGTTCTCAAAACTCACAACATTTTTAATATTTATTTATTTATAATTGTCTACAGTCTGTGGCGTATCACTCATGTTATTTGTACATTGTAGTTTATAGAAGTTTCTAAATGTAAAATATATAGTTGATACACCAGCATTTACAGAATGCATCTTTACAACTCGAACATTGGGTAACTTTTTTCCTTTAAACAGGATAGTCCAGTCAAAAATAGAAAACCTGTCCTCATTTACTCAAGCTCGTTTCTATAGTTCTACACTGGTGTCAATTCCTTTCTAGAACACAAAAGAAGATATTTGTGAAGAATGCTGGTAGTTTTTGTTTTCATTGACACCCACTAAATGGCAACTGAAACTTAAATACCAAATACTGTTTAAAGGTTGTTTTTTTTTTTGACAATTTGAAAAAAACATACATCTATAAATGCATACATTATTTAGCTTACTAAAGAGGGTTGTAAATACAGGGTATTGAGTGAATAATGAAAAAGCCTTTCCAAGTGGTTTGGAATGTAGCCACTCTCATAAATAATCGCTCTTATCTTAAGCTTCCAGTCCAGGATCCAGCCTTCACACACAGCAGGAAGGACAAGGCAACATTTGAATTCAAATCTATGCATCACATCCTGTCTACTGAAACACATTCACACAGTAACACTCTGAAGGACACATTAACATATCCATCTATGCCTATAAACTAAAACATGTATCTAAACCGTTACATATACTTTGGAAATATGCTAAAAACATAGCACAAAACATTAATTTGTTTTATACAAAAAACAATAATTTTATTACTGATAATTTTACACACTCTTTTTTTTTTAAATAGATACAAAGGTGAACATGATCTGTCAAAACGCTCCGTGAGCTTGAGGGTTATAAAAAAAGAAAATTAAAACCTGCATTAATTTTCAACATAATAGAAAATTTATAAGTAAACAAAATCATGATTTAAATGGACAAATATATGATAAACTGATTAAAAAAGGTCCACATACATCAACTAAGTGTGGTGTATTCATTTGCATTTACATTTTATTATTTAACTTTGTCCAAAGTTTTTTTAAATTTTGTTTTATTATAACAAAATGAAACATTTACATTACGTTATATCACATTACATGCCAGGGATTAAAACAGAAAAGTATCTTTTAACAAATTCAGTTTTTACAGCTTTCTTGTTAGTACATTCAGAAATCAAAGATATATAAAGATTTAGATCTTCAAGAAAAATCTGAAAGAAAGGTTTACGCTTACAAAATTTACACTTGTGTATAAAATATTTGGCCAAAAATATAATGAGATTAAATAAATAAAAAGCATCTGGATGTTCAATTTGATGGTTGTATAATAGAATAACAGTTTCATAGTTTTTTTTGTCCAAAGTGTTACCAGAAAGAAATGAAAAGATGACACATCATTACTATTATTATTATGATGCTTTTCAGAAGTCTGGACTCCTTACTTTATTTTATTAATGTATCTTTAAGCAATCTTTAGTTTTGGTGTGCCATAATTGATTTTCTAAATGATTTTTTTATTATTATTATTGACATTTTCTTTTAGATTAGCATTAATAAAATGTTGGTTTTGATAAAAGTTGGTTTTCTTTTATATGTTTGTTATTAATAGTTTGAAATGTTGATTAAAAATTGCAATAAAAATTAAGTAGAGCACTGGATACTGCAAAAAATAATTAAATAAAATAGTGGAACCTGTTAAAGGCAATTTAATGGTTTAAAAATATAAAAAAGGCATCAAATCTTCAACCAAATAAAAAGGGGATGTTCCAGTGCAATCTAATCTTAACTGTGCTTCTTGAGGCTGAAGCACCATCATTCGCAAACCATTTGGAATACACCCAGACCAGAAGAATGGGACACCAAAGATTGCCATCAGAGGTCTTGGTTCAAAAACACATGGAGAATGTTGATAAAGTTATTCTAAAAATCTCCCAAATTTGGACAAGGAAAAAGGAGGTACTGTATGTTCAGCAGGTGCCAGCTAACACCTTAACATCCATATTTTGAAAAAAAAAAAAAAAAAAAAAGTACTGTAATTTAAAGTTTTAAATATGAAAATTCCTAAACTGAATCTGACTAGGCCTGAATCTTGAGCAGAGGAGGAATTATCTGTGACATCAGCTTCCCACCATCCCACATCCAAATTGTATATCCCACTGACGAGTAAGCTAAGAGAATAAAAAACATACAGAAAAAAAAAATAAATAAAGCAAAAACCTGGTTAATAATGCATTAAGCTTAAATAAAAAAACAAAACACAACATGAAAAGCAGTAAGCTGGTAGAAAAAAAAACATGCAAGTCAATGTTTCCATCTTCAGGTTTCCATCTTCAGAAGATCTTTTGTGATCAATGGAAGAAAGTCAAAAGGATTTGAAACAAGTGAAGAGTGAGTAAATGCGGACAGCAATTTCTGTTTTGAGAGAAATGTGCCTTAAATAGGGGAATAAAGCTCATTTGGATTTCTTAAAAATCTGATTGATTAAAACTGAAATATGGACTTACTCTAGCCTATATTGACACCTGTGAAAATTCTTCACTCTTCTCTCCACATCTCAGTGTGAAATATGTTTTCACTTCCTACTTCACCACTTCTCGGTCTCGAGAGTTTTATTTAGACTAACATCAGTTTCACAATATGTTCCTGAACTATAAAACCTACATATTTGTTTTTATCTTATGAAAAATGCAGGATGTTTTGTCCATTGCATCGTATGAAGCTAATTTTAAAATATATTACTTATTTTCTTCAAGATGTCATTTGACATTTCCCACATTACAAAACCTTTACCTGACACACCACTCCGAATTCTCCTCAGCTGTTTGGGTAACAGGAAGTGACGAAACTGCACTAGAATCATGTCGCTTTTATAGAGGTCGGCGGATTGTTGGAGAACATTAACGGCAGATCATTAACAGGGATACAGAGTCACTGAAACACACCTGCTCATCTCTGCCTTTCTAACAGGGAAGTTGTTCCAACCACCTGGGACTGTTTTATAAACGGACAGCGCTCGGACCAAACAGATTTCCAGCAGGAATAATAGGTTATATATTAATAAAAAACTCGACCTTATCATTGGATACACCGCGAAGCTCCGAAACAGCTGTAATTAAAGAGACTTATCATTGTCACCGAAGGTTGGTGAGTTCAAAGTTGATTTACGTTTATGTGTTTTTCGGCATGCGATGAAAACGAGATGAAAAAATACAGTGTCAGTGTCTCAAACTCTACTGTGCTGCCTTTGTAGTCAGCATCGCTGGCGACTTTTGAGTTGATTCTCTGTGATGCTATTTAAGCGACTATTTAAGCACACATAATGCTGAAAAACAGAAATAAGTGTTTAGTTTTACTCATTTAAAATGTCCTTGAAATGACCATTGGCACTTCACTGACCCAATTCAGGTTCAAGCGATTTTATTAAATCTATAAGAGCATACGATTCAATAGTTAATGTAAATACTGCTGTACAAAGGCTACACATATGATAACACCTTTAACTTGCCCATTAAGTTTAATACCAGGTGAAGACAATTAGTGCTAAATGATGGTGTACAATCAGCTTTTTAAAATGATTATTATTTATGTTTAAACCAAGGCATGCCTTTGAAAGTATTAGTCATTTCAAAGAGAGTCTTGACTTTCCAGAACTTTCCATGTCTGCTCACACCTCTAAACTTGTTGCATTCAAAATGTCATATAAACCTGATACGTGCTGGAGATTCATTCACAATTAGTTCTGATAACAGAAGAGCTCACTGTTGTTCGCTTGTAGAACAACAACATGTCTTGGGAGAGTCTTGGTGTTTGGAATGCTGTTTCTGAGACCAACTGTGGTTTTAATGTAATCTTGACATTCAACATTTGCCAGATAGTCATCACGTAACCTCTCAGCATCCGTCACGTTACTTCACTGCCATTTACAAGTCCTCCACCATGCATGGCCTCGTGGATAGTCAAATGTGATCCTGTCTCAAATATCATACTCGCATTGCATAGGTTACATACTATTATATGAGCATTAGTATATTATTTAAACATAGTAACTGTAACATAGTAACTGAACAAAGTTTGTTTATCAATGTTTGCATATATTCTTTTATTAAGAACCTTGACATGAGTTGGGTTATGAGTTTTTCTGTTGACCACAAAAGATGTTTTGAAGAATGTATTAAGAAATTGTGAAAACTATAAACACCATTGACTTCTATAGTATAAAAAACAAACTCTATGGTCTATAAGTCAATGGTCTTTCCATCATTTTTCAAAACATCTTTTTTGTTGTTCAATAGAAGAAAGTGAAGCCGGTTTAAAAGAAGGTACAAGGTTTTACTTTTTGTTGAACTGTCCTGCTTCTAGAGTGTCCTTTAAAGATAAAAACATAGTTGTATTTATATGGCATTGATGTGAAAACTCCATTAAAATAGTTAAATTTAAATTAGTTTAATTTAATTAAGTTTAATTGAGTTTCAAAAATGTACTGCTCTCGTCATGTTGTTTTTGGCTGACTGTATATTAGAGAATTACGTGATTTCAGATGCAGCCATTGTCACATTTGACAATACTACCTCACTATTCGCTTGTTTGTTTATACTTCACATTTAAAATTAGATTTTGGTGGATATTAAAGGTTATGCTCATTTTTGGTAGTATTACTGCAAAGCGTGTGTGTATTATTGTGTTCTTTTGAATCTAGTGTTTGAATCTGGAAATGGTGACGTGGGATGTCCGATGATAATTCTGAAAGTATATTATTAATTCATTCATACATTTTCCTCCAACTTCGTCCCTTTATTCATCAGGGGTCGCCACAGCGGAATGAACCGCCAACTTATCCAGTATATGTTTTACGCAGCACATGCCTTTCTAGCTGCATCCAAGTACTGAAAAACATCCATACACACTCATTCACACACATACACTATGGCCAATTTAGTTTATTCAATTCCTCTCTAGCGCATGTATTTGGACTTGTGGGTGAAACCAGAGCATCCAGAGGAAACCCATGCCAACACGGGGGAACATGCAAACTCCACACAGAAATGCCAACTGACCCAGCCAAGACTCGAACCAGTGACCTTCTTGCTGTGAGACGATAGTGCTAACCACTGAGCCATTGTGTTGCATAATAATAATAATAATAATAATAATAACACCTTTTAGTATATGAAGAGTTCAGATGTAAAAGCCTTTAAATACCAAATGAAATTTCTTTCAAAATGAAAACTTTTCTCAACCTCCTATGTTTAGGTTCAGTTATTCCACATTAAAGGCAACGAAAAGAACCTATTAATCACCAAAATATTAAAATTGCAGAACCTACACACAAGAGCTTGAGAAAAATGTTAATTTAGGGAGAAAATATTAGATAGTGTTTAGAGGATTTTGCATCTGAACTCTTCATATGTAGATCCACTACAGTATCGACCTTAGTCCAAGTGATGTCTATTAAGGATGGTAGTTTGCTGATTGTGCTTTCACAGCATTGCTTCACTTTAATCTAAAGAATGGAGGAAGATCCTTTTAAATGAGGAAAAACCCTGTCTCAGGGTTAACCTGGATAAGTGGAGTAGCAGTAGCCAGTTTGACAGGACTGTGAAAAGGCGTAATGTAACAGCTTTCAGTTTCAAGTCAACTAACCAAGTGTCTCTTTAGTTCTCTGTTTGTCAGTATATTCTGCAGGATTTAAAGATCAATGCTGTTAAAGGTGCCCAGTGTACTTTACTTTCTGTCTTTGAGGAGGTACTGGTGTGCCTTTCACTCCCACTGTAACGTAAGAACAGGCTTTGTTGATTAGAAACCTTTGTAAGGCCACTAGACAACCACTATTTATAAAAGAGACATCAAGCAGCTGCAATAGTGTGTCGTTATCAAAACAAGTTTAAATAATTTAGTGTAGTCATTGGGTAGTAATACTTTATAAAACTGATTTTAATGACATCGGTTTGATCAAATGTAAAATTTTCAGGAAGTGTATAAACTGTCTGGGCTATTTATGTTACAGTCTGTCTTTTGCAGAAACAAATTACTCCTATAAAAAGTCTTTGGTTTCAGCCATCTGAAAGGAAATGACAGAAACTTAATATTAGTGCTTACAAAAATAATCACAATTAATAAAATAAAGGTTTGTTTTGTTATAATTTAAGTGTGTGACTGTGTATATTTATTAACTATACAGGCATGTATATATTTGAAAACAAATTATATTTATATTTAGATCTAAATTATATTTGAAACAAATTATACATACATTTAAATATCTATGTAGCAAAATTGTTTTGTATAGATTTGTTTTAATGAATGTCCATCACTTACACATAATGTATGTAGGCCTGTCACAATAATCAAAATATTGACTTATTATCGCACAACACGTGGATATTTCCTCAATTTTTTGTGATGCAATATATATTGCTCATACATAAAAAAGTCAGCAACATTTTAACTTATTGCACAGCCTCTGACACCTTCAATAAAGATACTGACGATGTCAGTATGGTTAAAAAAACTATAGTATTTAATATAAATTATAGTATATTTTTATGTGGGTGCCTAACAATTGAAAATAGATCTGGTATTGTATGTGGCCTATTCAGCATCCTGTGCTCTAAATTGACTTTGGTAAACATGCAACTTTTTCCTAGTGTTGGTACCTTGCACATTTTGTCAACATTGCTTAATTATTTGTTTAGGATATATACATTTTCTCATGCTGATTCCAATGCCCAATTATTAAATGAAATATTCTAAAGAATAAAATATGTTCTTTGATAGTGTATTTCCATTATAATGCTATTAGGTTCATACTTGCATAATGAGTGGCATAAATTGATTTTAAAAGAACAATAATATCGTTATCACATTAAATTGTGGTACAATATATCGTACAACACAAATTTGATATTGTGACAGGCCTAAAGGTATGTCTGTTTATTATAGATAGATATTTATTACGTCAAAGCAAACCTTTATTTTGCATTCGGTTAATCTTTGCCTAGCTCTACTTAATTTCCAAAGTAACAGATTCAGACACTTGTATCAGTTGGCCATAAAACTCAAAGACAGTAGCAGAGTTCATCCAGCTGTCCTCTGGTTCAGTCTGTCACACCTTTGCCAAATATTGATTTCCATTGTCCTAGATAGCACTGCCTCATCTGTTACTCACATTGGCAAACATGTGCTGTCAAATAAATCTCTTATTTTGAAAGAATAAAAGAAATGGCAATGCTTGTTGCTGGACTGATCATCCATTAAACTTTCAAGAATACATTCATGCACTCTCAAACCTGCTAATTTAGAGTTACTTTTCATATCTTAGAATTAAACCACCAAACCAATTTAGACTAACAAAAACTGGTTGATCTGTGGTGAGATTTGGCACAATCTGACTGCATACTTTGCGGTCAAGAGATCTGGTGTTAGCTGAGCTGACAGCCTCCTCTTAGTGCCATCATGAGAAGCCAGAAAACAAGCTCCAGAGAATTCAGCAACCATTTCACATCTGTTCACACATTTGTGAGTTTGCCCTGACTGCTGTTTCATGACAAGTAGCAAAGGAATGTGCAATAGAGATTGAAGGAAGATAGAGCTGAGGAAAAACCATGAATCGAGGACTGAACACTTACTGTAAGTGTACTTCATGAAGTGAATGACTCAAAAAGGTGTAAATGTTGGAATGTTGGCTGCAGGGCAAAAGGTGGGGTTTGAAACACTTAATGGCTCAGAACTGACTAAAGAGAAGAGGAAATGCTGTGTGTGTGCTGTATGTGAGAATCAGCGTCTATTGAAACTGGGGCATCAGTCGCTAACAAAGTTCTTCCATTGTGTTGTTTATATAAATTTGTGAAACGGGTTGAGTTTGTATATTAATGAGAAATGGCCGTTGGAATGGGATGAATGTAGAAACAACATTTTATATGAAGTGAATCCATTTGTAAATGAAAGAAACATTCAGGTTGTACATATAGTAGGAGATGTAGAATCGGCCAGTCAAGACTTACACACTTATATTTAAGATGGTACCTCCTTTTAAAAATATCTATCGAAAGGGCAAGAAAAACCTGTTTGTGACTTGTGTACGAATATTTTGATGATAAAACATATTTTAATAGAATGTGTATTTTAAATTATATTAGAAAAAAATTTTATTCAGGAAATATTTTAAGGGAAATGTTTGAAAAGGGGTCTTCAGGAGGAATTTTTCAAATGTTATTATTAATCAACCTAGAAGATATATATGTATATGACTCTTTTTAGTGTTGTTGTTGTTATCCGGGGCAGACTTGATGATTTGGGGGCCCCAAGCATTACCAGGTATGGGGCCCTAGCATTAAAACTCAAAACACTCTTTCTCTGTGGATCTTTTTTTCTGTCTGTAGATTCATTTTTCTTTTTCTTTAAATAAACTGCATGTTAAAAATATATATTAAGTGGAACCTTTATCTTCTTAATGTAAAATGAAATACAATTAACTTACAAATAAAAAACAAGTTCACAAACGAACTATACGTACATTTAATTAGCTATTTTTGTGATTGATTAGATTTCAATATTTGCATGTGCAGGATGGAAGGAACATTTCACAATTCATCATCAAAATCTTAATGGTTTTGGATATAGTTTTACAATATATGATAGAAAATGTATAAAAAAGCTATATGATTAAATAGGCTTCTTAGTATTAGTTGGGGGCCCCTAATTTCCTGTTGCCCTAAGTTTGGAGGCCTTAAATCCCCGTGGCTGCTTACCTCGCTTATCGATAAAGTCTGCCCCTGATTTTTATTTGTATGATTTTTGTACTTTGAAAAAAAAGAATTGATTAAGAATGATTGATAAGGATGTTATATATTGTATATTTAGTATAGGTTTTGACATGAATATAGCCAATGTTGTTGGGGTGACACGGTGCAGCAGTGTGTAGCACGATCACCTCACTGCAAGAAGGCTGCTGGTTTGAGCCTCAGCTGGGTCAGTTGGCATTTCTGTGTGGAGTTTGTTTCCCCCCATGTTTGTATGGTTTTCCTCCGGGTGCTCCGTTTTCCCTCACAAGTTCAAAGACATGTGGTACAGGTGAATTGGGTAAGTTAAATTGTCCGTTGTGTATGAGTATGAATAGGTGTGTATGGATGTTTCCAGTGATGGGTTGTAACTGGAAGGGCGTCCGCTGTGTAAAACATGTGCTGAATAAGTTGGTGGTTCATTTTACTGTGGTGACCTCAGATTAATAAAGGGACTAAAGCGAAAAGAAAATGAATAGCCAATGTGCTGGTATCACATTAAAACATAAAGAAATACATTTGTGTGTCAAAATCTACCTATTAAGTACATTTTCAAGTTGCTTTCTTGAAATAATATATCTTAGTCCTCAAATTGCCTTAATGGTTGTGTTCATTGATATTTAGAATTTTTGAAAATAGTTAAAATAATATAAATACAATAGTTTTTGTTTGTTTGTGTAGTAGTCCAAACAATTTACTATGTACAGTATAGTACACTAGTAGATGTTTCTTACTGAATCACTGTTGTTGTGTAACTTGAGTTTGCTTGGGTGGCATGATAAAATCTTTTTTGCTTTTTAAGCTTTAGGGTTTAAATTTTTGTGGCCAATCAACCTTCATCCTGTCTTTTTTCCTCAGTATTGGGTGTTTGCATGAGCAATACATTTATTCATTTTGAACAAATTGTAATCAAACGTTATCTGTGATTTTAATTTACGGAAATGAATGCAAACCAAAAATGAAAAATCTAGATAGAAAAAAAAAGTTGTTTTCAAAATGAAACAATTTATTGTTGTGCTGAATAATCACAGTCAACAATGTGCTTGCAGTTTATGATTAGGAATGGGAGTGATTTAGGGTGAGTTGCATGTAATTATTCACCATTAAAATAAAATTATTTATTTAAGTCCTGAGTAATCACTGTAAACAATGTACAGATAGTTATTATTAGTATGATAGTTATTTATTGGTATGATTTAGGGTTAGTTGCACGTAATTATACCTAATTTATTGTTATCAGTAAGTTACACATATAAAATAAAGTATTAATAAAATAGTAATTCGTTGGCCTCAACCGAAAGTTGAGCCAAAATATATTTGTTTTTGTTAGATTTGTTGTACATGTCATTTCAAGTGGACTAAATTGATAAAGTAATTGTATTTTTAAAGGCACAGTGACAGTAACAAAATTGTCTGTATTAGCAACAAAATACGGTGTATTGTTATGATGCTGTGACTGAGTGTGGAGTCATGGGAGTTGTCCTTGTCATTACATCCTACTGTACTGCAGAAATCCTCTTAAAGAATGAGCTGAAATATTCAAAACTTATGTTATTATGGTATTTGAAGCGGAGTTAGGCTGAAAGCTGTTGAAGTGAAATGAATGTTGAAGCAATTGCTGATGAGAAACGAGCATTATACAACATGAAAGCAGGAGAGCTTTTATTATGCCACAGTCCATCACTTCTTCTGGTCATGAGCACATGTTGAAGAAGCAGCACTGTTATATCATACTTAATACATTTAAGGGTTCTGTTATAATGCTTTGTGCAGTCTTATAAATACACCACACATCTTGGTGTTTTCCTGTTTTCCATAAAATAGGAAAACAGAACCACACTTAGTCACTAGTTAAATTAACCAATTTCTCTGGATTTGAACGTTTTTAAAAACATTTGGAATAAAGTAAGTACATAAGCCATCAAAAATATAACGTATAGTATAACTAGTGCTTTTTAAACATTAATACATATTGTGCCTTTAAGGCTGGAATACATTACATGACTTTGCCCATAATTACAATCTGGAGTAGTTTTTGGCCTGACCCTGATATCACAGGCCTTTGTGAGGTTTAATGTTAGATGGACACAGACTTTGGTATTTGTAATCTTCATCCTTCACTTCCGACATATTTTATATCGAGTTGATAAGCTTTTGAGCCAAATTTAGTGCAAATAAATTTAATTTGAACACTTTTCTCTGTGGGTTGAAAGTCTAGAAGGATGTGATGTTCAGTTTTTGTGTTTGATGCCCAGTGTTTCTGGTCAGTAGACTTATGATGCCTAATGTTCAGTCCTAAAGTCAGTTTAGTGTTTTAAAAATCATGTAGTGTAGGCCTTGATCACCTCTGGGCCTGTCCTGAAGGACACCGCTGATATAAATAACACCAGTCAGATCCAGCTGGAAGGATACGGGAACTGACTATTTGGCACCTGATTGTCTGAAAGCAGTTGATGTTTTGATGCTAATGATAAGTCTGATAAATTTAAGATGATTTAAAGGACACTATTTAAAAATATCATGTGGGTTCGAAGTATAACACGCTTGTCATATTCATAAACCAGTAAGAACTTCTGCTTTTGATAATTTCTCATATTATGTTACCTTCTTAAATAGGATTTCCTAAAATAAAATTGAAGTAATATACAGGAGCCTAGAGTGGATGACATGTCCAATCATGAATCAATCCTAAACACTATTATGCATGCCATGAAATGTAATGCAGAACTAAGCTTTTAAGTGACGAGTTGGTGTTTTGAGGTTGTCCCTCACAGTAGTCTCCCACCCTTTAACAAAGCACACCCTCAATCTGTTGTCCTCTCTTTTATGTCTTCTTCAACTGGTTCTCTGTCGCTCTCTTTCTTTTTCAGGCCCACTGCTGAACATCAGTCTTCATCCCGTGGAGTGGAAACCCAAAACCTGAGCCATGGAGGAGGATTATTACCACATCCTTGGTGTCACGAAAAGCGCATCTCCTGACGATATAAAGAAAGCGTAAGTACTCTGTGTTCTGTCATGGCTGTCTATTTTTACACACTGGACATAGTAGAGCGTTAATGATAACAGTGACTGTGCAACACAGGCTTAGTGTTACTGTTTGTGTGAGACTTCTTTATTACTCATCTCTGTCAGTGCGTTTGTTTTAATCCCTTGCTTCTGATGTTCTTTGAATAAAAATAAAAAAGCCCTCCTTTTTAATGTCTTCGTTTGGAAATAAACAAATGCGGACCCAGATAAGCATTGCTGTTCGTGCTTGCCGTGACATTGCTGAGGTTGAGATGGAAACACTTTCACTGTGGTAAATATAGAAGGGATTAAGAGAAATGCTATGGCAAACTCTCTTATGTCATGACAAATTGATAAAAGTTTTAAGAAATTTGCCAATAATTTTTCAACTAAACATCTTCAAAATGCAAAGTACATTCTTAATCAGCTTGATCCAAGACCATTCATATAATAGTACATAGTTTAAAATATTCAATAGTTTCATAAGATGCAGTTATGGGAAAATATAAGAGATCATTTGGCATTTTTCAGTTTAGCTGTATTTAGTACAATTTGTAGTCATGTGTTGGAGTAAAATGTAATTTTTGTTTTATCTGAAAACAGCTAATGTCATTTCTTAAAAAAAATATATATATGCGTTTTATATATGCATTTTATATATGTATGCAACAGTTAGTTAAAATAACAAAAAAGAAGGCATTTTCATTTATATTCATTTTTAGACGATGCAATAACCAGTGTTTTAACTTGGTATTTAGTTATGAAAGCAATATTTGGTAGAATAACTTCAGTTGTTTGATCACAATTGTTTTGCTTTTTTTTGTGTTTTTTTTTTAAACCAATTATCTTTTTCTTTTCTTTAAAAATGTAAAAGGAAGGTTTTACCTTTTTAATAGAATTAAACAAAAATGAGCAGTTTATGCAAACACATACCTAAAGAGTTCAGTAAACCCAGAGAAACTAATGTAGTGGAAAAGAAGTTCCATTAATGCAAAATTTCACGGTAACATTGTATTTTGATGGTCCCTTTAACGCATTTTGTTGAATTTAAGTTACATTGCATCTACATGCCAACTAATTCTCATTAGATTATAAGTAGACTGTTAGGTTGGGGTTAGTGTAAGTAGACGTACTTGCAAATTTTCTTATGGTCAGATAAATGTGTTGAAGGAGCAGTATCAGCAAATATTAAGCAGACAGTCTACTAATACTCAAATGAGAGTTATTGGCATTTAGTTTCAATGCAACTTGCCAACAGAATGTGCAATAGGGACCATCAAAATAAAGTCTAATTGCTAATTTCACACGTCATTTAGATATTGCATGTAAACATTGTATGTAAACACAGTCTTTTATTTTGCAATTTGAGCTTGACCCAGAAAAAGGAATAGGGTGTAAATGCATAGAAGGGAAACCTTACAGCATTTAGTGGTGTTTAGTCACATTGTGTCCTTATTCATTACTCCACACCTTATTCATCCACTCCCTTTCTAGAAAGGGTGTTTTTGTCCTTTGTTTTTCAGGTGAGCAAACAGCTATTGAAGCCTTGTTCTGTAGGTCACTGAATTTGCTGATGTTTAAGGGAGGATTTCTAAAGCACAGTGGTTTGGAGGGTAAACGCTATCAAAAGATGTGCAAAGGACAAATCCTCTGGTGTATAGAGTGTTTGGTTTAGGCCATTGACGCTGCAGGCTGCGTGTGTATTGCTGACTCAGGTTGAGTGTACAGGGATGCTGACCTGTTGTCACACCTACTGAAGTTAAACTGTGCAGCATGACCTGGATTGAAAGTGGATGTTAAGAGGTGTGGAATTTATTTTGTGTGGGCATTACATTTTTTTTCCAATGAATATTAGCATCCTTGAACATTTAATTTGATTTAAACACTGTTTCTGGTCAGCTTTTTTTTTTTTTTTTTTTTTACTAAAATCAGCATCAGGAATTTATAGTGATTTATAAAAATCTTTGTAGTCCTATATCTTCAGTCTTGTAACTAACATTTTTGTTGTTGTTTGTTCATGATTCTTATATAATGAAATTTGTTGATTTAAATATAAGTTAATAAAATAAAAATATGGTAAAGCAGTGGCACAGTAGGTTGTGCTGTTGCCTTACAGCAAGAAGGTTGTTGGTTTGAGCCTCTGCTGGGTCAGTTGGCGTTTCTCTGTGGAGTTTGCATGTTCTTCTTGAGTTTTGCGCGGGTTTTCTCTGGGTGCTCCGGTTTCCCCCACAGCCCAAAGACATGCGGTACAGGTGAATTAGGTAGGCTAAATTGTCCGTGGTGTATGAGTGTGTATGGATGTTTCCCAGAGATGGGTTGCAGCTGGAACGGCATCCTCTGCGTAAGCATATGCTGAATTTGACGGTTCATTCCGCTGTGGCGACCCTGGATTAATTAAGGGACCAAGCCAAAAAGAAAATGAATGAATAAATGAATGAATAAATAAATGAAAATTAAAAATAAATAAAATAATTAATAACCTAAACTTTTTTTGTGTTTGCATTCATTAATCACCCACATATATGCTGTTATTTTTGTAAATAATTTTTTAATGTTCTAGATATACAAATACACACTATATACACTATATATTATCACTTTCATTCTTTTTTGTACATCTTTGATGTACTTTTTAAATTGTGACTATATATTCTGCATATAAATTTATATTCTGCAGGTGCATGTAGTTTTTGTGCCCTTTTCAAATTTAAGATGTCTTGCTTTGAAAAAGGTGTGTATGTGCTTTTCAGGTACAGAAAACTTGCACTAAAATGGCATCCAGACAAAAACCCCAATGACAAAGAGGAGGCGGAGAAAAGGTTCAAAGAAATCTCAGAAGCATATGAAGTCCTGTCAGATGGTATTGGATATTTATTTTTTCTATAATTATTTTTAAATGATACACTGTTTTTTTATTATTGAAAGTGAATAATTTCCTCTTATAAATGTTTGTAAAGTGTAAAGAAATCTACCAAAATAACCTGTCAGTGGTTGAATTGCTTGATTTATGACTATTTTAAGGTGTTGAGGTATGACACATGTCCTGGTATTTTGGCTTTTTAAGTCTTTTTCTTAAGCCAGTTACTTTTTTCTGTATTTCTGCAGTAAAAAAAAAAGTTATGTATTTTCATTTGCATGTCTGCATTTTTTTTTTGTACATCTTCCCATTTACCGTTTTATTAAATGTGTAGAGGTATTTTTAGATTTCATTTATTATTTATTATTAAATATTTCATTTTCCTGTGCAAGACTTGTTAAAATGCATTGCCACACAGTTATTGTAATCTCAACATGAATAAAAAAAAAGTTGGTGCTTTTGCTTCTGATAGTAAAATATATTTTGTTCATCTGGTCACAGGTGAAAAACGATACAATTTTTATAAATCAAAAAAAGTGTCCACTTTCACTTCCATGGGTGGTAGAAAACACCCATATTGTGTTTGTAATGTGCTTTTAGTCACATGTGTAGCCACTTGTGGTTTAAATAGCCAGTAAATAAAGAAATATTCTTGGACCTTTTGGTGCAGCATGACAGCCAGATGGTGTTTAAGCTCTGTCTTCTGAAATTGTAAGCAAATAATTTAAACAGCACAATGCTTCCTTAAAAGTCTTCCTTTTAACACAAAGCGTTGAGTGTTGTTTGTGTTTATCTAATCTGAAACCAAAAAAACTGTTCTGTGTTGTTTTCTGTTGTTTCTTTTAGCATTCATTTGCCAATCACTCTTATTTTACTAATATTAAATTAGATTAGAAAAGGCCAGTACACACAGCTGTCCATAGGCCCTTCTTCCCTTAAAGAAATCAGGGAAGAGACTGAAACAAAACAGAAGTGTCATGTAAAGGTGTAAACAGGAATATGTGTCCTTAGTCTGCTTTTTTATAGTAAATAGGCAACTGCCCTAGAGTAAAACAGTTTATTTATTTATTTATTTATTTATTTATTTTTATCGATTCAGTTGATATCCCGGTCTGGCGAGAGCACTTTTAGCTTAGCAAAGATCATTGAATCTGATTAAACTGTTATTTTGCTATACCTTCAATATCAGTTGTATACCAGACCTCGAACATGCCACAAAGAAAAAGTGAAGGTGTTGTGGCAGGTGTGTGTGACTTATATAAAACATGTTAAACTGAGTGAAACTAAAAGCAGCATTTTTCTTTTGCAGAAAACAAACGGAGAGATTATGATAGATATGGTAAACAAGGCCTCTCTAATAGAGGTAGGTGAAGTTATTTTCTTTGTAAAAGTTACCTGTTCACATTTGTTCCTGTTTTTGGAAATGTGTCTGTCCTCTAATGATTTATTGTTGGTAAAGGTGGCCATTACGATGATGAATATATGGGTGGATTCACATTCCGTAACCCAGAAGACGTCTTCAGGGAATTTTTTGGAGGTCATGATCCATTTGCAGATTTCTTTGGTAGGTGCATGTGAGATTATTATTATTATTATTATTTTATTGAATTAATAAAGCAAGTGCCAAAAGGGGACATTCGCAACATGCAGTTTAGTATTTCAATTTTTAACTGTGAAACCGCATTTACCCTGCATTATTTCAGAATAAAGAGCTTCTTGTCAGTGAAAATGGTGTTCAAAATTAGAACAAAACTCCCAAAGTGAGGAAATGAAGGTCATTTAATCTCTCTCGTTGTTTCTGTCTGTGTGACAGTAATAACGTGGTTTGAGTTATAATTAGGTAATTAGATTTTGCATGAAATTATTGGAGCTTGGGTTCATTAGTTGATTAGCTTTATGTTAATCTACTATAATTATATTGTTCACTAAAAATACTCTCAGAAATGGGCTCTTAACTTTGGTGTGTATTATGGGAAAATTGTACTTTTATCTTTTATACGGTTACAAAACACACACACACACACACACACACACACACACACACACACACACACACACACACACACACACACACACACACACACACACACACACACACACACACACACACACACACACACACACACACACACACACACACACACACACACACACACACACACATATATATATATATAATATCACATTTGTGCAGTTTTTTCTGTGATACTTCACACAAAGGAACTTTATGCTTATTTTAGAAAAGGACATAACAGCATCATGAAAGTAGTCCATGTGACTTGCGTGCTACATTCCACATCTTCTGAGGATTATCCATGAATAAAGGCTTAAAGGGACAGTTAACTCGTAAATTAAAATTTACTCAGCCTCAAGTGGTTTTAAACTTTTTATGAATTTAATTTATTCTGTTGAACACAAAACAAGGTTTTCTGAAGAATAATGAAACCAGCAGCCATTGACCTCTAAAGGAGGACCTTTTGTTCATTTTATGGAAGTCAGTAGCGGTTTGTTTTCCAATGTTCTTCAGTATATCTAACTTGGTGTTCAACAGAAGAAAGTCAATCAGGTTTGGAACATGTGTAGAGAGGGTAAATGATGACAGAATTTAGATTTTTGGGTGAACTATCTTTTTAGACCACATTCATAGTTATAATTTGTTATATTGTTGAACAAATAATATCTTAAATGCTTTCCACAATTTAAAAAACAAAACAAAGTTTTTGGAGTGCAAATCTGTCCCCTTAATTATTGTTAAATACTGATATTGGTGAACTTGTTCAAATAGGACTGCTCACTAATAACACACTTTAGTCATCCGTTAAACACTGAAGTGCTTCCCCATGCGCTCTGACTCTAACTGCGGGGAACAAATGGCCGAACAGCATGTGTGTGAAACATACAGGCACTCTAAATATGGCGAGGGTGCTTGGACCAGCGAGCGGGACGAGAAGAGAGTGTGCATCATCCACTAGGAATGTTCTCAGAAATAGCTTCCAAATAAAAGAGCAGCAAGAGAAAGGCAAAGCTAATAGCTGTAGGCCAATGCGGGGAGAGAACGCTTGTGTGTGTGTGTGTGTGTGTTTTATATGTATGCTTGAAAAATTTCAGAGAACTGAGAATTGTTTTTGAATGGGTCAACTGGATGCAAATACACTTGGTTTAGGTTTCAGGAGCACCATCTTTGAGGATAGAAGGTCATTGGTGTTTACCGGTGTTTATGTAGCTATGACAAGGTTGGGCTGGGTTAAAATAACTGTGTGCATGAAGATTTCAGTCGTGGTTCTGCCTGCCAAATAAAACTTGCTTGAAGGAGATGGGGAAGTTCATGTTAAGGTGCTGAGTGCCTGAAAATGGAGAACTATTGATCTAGGCATGTTTCAGCAGGCATATAATCTAAATCTTCTATTTTACAACATTTGCTCACAGAACTACGAGGATGAGCAAAAATAGATCTACGTATCCCCTGTTGACCTATGTGTTCCCATTAGATGATGATAATTAAAGCTGCAAGTTACTACTTGTTTTACTGTCACCACATAGTTGTTTTCTTTATAAAAAAAAATTATTAATTGTTATATATAATGTTGTTATTTTTAAACAAATTTTATTTGTTTAATGCATCATACATTTCTTAGTTTATAAGTGTAGTAAAACATTATACCACAATTATAAAGATTTATTTAAAGACATTATAATTAGCTTGGTTGTAAAAAAAAATAATAATAAAAAAAGGTTGCCTTACTAAATCAAACAAACTTTGACATTTTTTGTGTAAATAAGTTTCATATATAGGTGAAATAGTGCTTTTCCTTCATATTCCTTCGGTGTTCATACAGTGATTCTGTGAGTACTGAAAAGTTTGTGTTGATATTAAATATTTTAACTGTGATTCGAAATAATTCAGTATTGATCAGTTAAATTGTTAGGGGAAGAAAAACAAACAAAATATATTTTTTAAATCTAGGTTTCACTTGCTTTTTTTAATTAAATTATTATTTTTTTTTATAATTAGGAAAAACTTTTGAAATAAGTCACTCAATGGCTTTATTGAACCTAGAATGCTTTCTGCTGACCCACAGTGAGCCTGAAATGATGTTTTTATTTTAGATGTATTTTATGTTTTTATTTTAAGTGTAAATATCTTTATAATATCCTAATTTTATGACATCTTTTTTCTACTAAGCTCCTAATTTTCTTTCTTTATTTTTTCTTTATTTTTTTAAGCTGATGACACATTTGAAGGTTTCTTTGGTGGGCGCCGTCACAGAGGTATGAGCAGGAGCAGGACAGCAGGTCCATTCTTTCCTGGATTTTCTCCATTTGGTCCGTCCTTTTCTGGATTTGACACAGGTATGTTAATCTGTGTGCAGCTCAGTGTTTCTCAAACCTTTTCTGTCATTCCCCACTTAAGATGTAGATGAGGGTTCCAAGCCTCACCTGTCCCCGATCACTCATGCTAATAAACTAGAGCTTCAAGTCTTACTGAACTATATAAAAAACCTTTGATAACCTCAAATTCAGAAACATGAAAAGTGTGGACTAGTCTAGTGCTTTGCTTTATTTTCGACACTTTGGAAACTGCATGCAAAAAGAACATTCAAAAAAAGATCATTTTATTAATTATTTTAGTGTCTGCAATGAGCCTGTTGTACACACATTTTCAAAACATGGTTGTAGGCTTACTACCTCTCTCAAGTTTTGCTCAATGTTAATATGATATCTGTATTTTATTTTCAGTGAAGCAACAGCATGGCTTCTTCTTGTTCCATGTCAAATATTGATTCATTGCAAACTTTTATACCCCTTACCACAGTTTTTGTTCTGCTTCAATTACATTCTGACATTAAATTATTCTCATAGATCACTCTGGTATTTCCTTCGCAGTCTGATGTTGTTTAAAGGGATAGTTCACCCTAAACTGAATATACTCTCGCCCTCAAGTACCCTTTTAAGTTTGCATTTTCTGTTGAACACAAAATTAAGATATTTTGAAGCATGTTAGAAACCTGTAACCATTAACACGCATAACAGGAAAAACAATTGTTATAGAAGTTATTGGTTACTCAATGGTCAGTGGTTTCCAACACTTTTTTTTAAATAACTTTTGTGTTCAACAGACAAAAAAAAAAGAAACACAAACAAGTTTGTGACAAGTGAAGGGTGAGTAAAAGATGGCAGAATTTTCAGTTTTAGATCAACTGCCCCTTTTCTTAAGGCTTACATTTTAAAGGGATAGTTCATCAAAAATGAAAATTCTGTCGTCATTTACTCATCCTTCACTTGTTCCAATCCGCTTTGAAATGTTTTAAAGAAAGTTGGAAAGTGGAAACCTGTAACCATTGACTTCAATAGTGTTTGTTATTCTGACCATGGAAGTTGATACAAGTTTTCAGTTTTGGTCAAAATATCTTTAATAGGGTTCAACAAAATAAAGAAACTTAAAGGTTTACAACTGTTTGATGGCATGTAATTTTTGTGTAAATTAACCCTTTAAATATGGCAGAATTTTGACTGTGTGGTCAGTGATTTATGGACATGCAGGTATAGCCATGGGAAAAGTCAACATTTATTGTACAGCTATTAGTGTAATGGAACATGATCATCATTTTTTCTGTAGGGTTTTCTCCGTTCGGCCCAATGGGTGGAGGAAGCTTCAGCTCATTTTCATCGTCTCCATTTGGTGGTGGAGGTGGGATGAGAAACTTCACCTCCATTTCCACATCCACCAAATTCATCAACGGAAAGAGGATCACCACTAAACGGTACAAAAGAACATATTGGAATAGCTTTTAACCGCTTCACACCTTGGTTGCACAATCATTTTAATAACGTTATTCAGTTACACGTCTTATGCAAATTGCTCACTAAGTGTTGCTCATTTGACTTAAGTTTATTCAATGCAAATCTCACAGGTAACGTTTGTGTCATTGCAGTATTGTAGAGAACGGTCAAGAGAGAGTGGAGGTAGAGGAGGACGGTCAGCTCAAATCTCTCACAGTCAACGGTAAGGAGCAGTTACTCCGACTGGACAGCAAATGAACTGCAGATGAATGTTCGAAGCGGTTAAACCCAAACATTCCTAAGCATAACCAACCTTCCCAACCAGGCTGATGGCTACCAGTGCACCTGCTCTCCACTAGTCAGCAAACCAAGAGTAGGTAACATGAGCGTTTAGATGGTGCTGTTACCCTCAGTGCAGTGAATCGCAGAGGTAAACAGGGTGAAGTCTCATTCCAGCATTTTTTCCTTTCTTTCTTGGGGACCATTTATTCCTTACAAAACCTCAGTTCGAACAAGCACACTCTATTCCCTTTCTGTCAGCTTTTCTTTCATCCATAAGTGCTTGAAACTGGAGCTTAACAGGTTGTGTTTGCTTTCTGCTGTAGAGCCGTTCAACTGTTCATATGTTGAAGTCTTAACCTCTCCATTCTGACATATTTAATATGATCTAACCAATGTAAGTAGTTGCCATTTGTTTATTATATTAGACTGTTAATAAATTATTATGATTTTTATTTGGCTTTTCACCTAACTGTTGCATAGCCTGAGACCTTTCCATTGATCCGAACATACTGTTTATATACATTGTGTGAACTTATATGCTGGAAATTCTGTTCTTTCTAAGAAAACAAATAAGCAAAGACAGACAAAGTTTCAGGTTTAATAAATTTCACTTTCACCTGTTTTGAATGCTGCACTCAGTGTTTTTGTGGTGCTTTTGGGAAACACAGATTTAACTCTAATTTGTGTGTCTGTGTGTGTGTGTGTGTGTATGTGTGTGTCTTTATCTTGGCCTGATGAACTGTACGTGTCTCATAACACTCACAAAATTAAAGACAGTAAAACTTTGCTTTCAGTCTGCTTGCACCTTGATATGCCTCTTTAAAATATTCACACATGCATGAGCGCATACTGCACCTGTGGTTTTATTTGTTTAATTGCACAGACACTTTTAACTAACTACTGTGTGTAAATTCTCAAAACTGAATGCAGATGCTGTGGTGTTGATGTAGTGAAATTCATAATGAATGCCAACTGTTTTTACAGAAGAGTCCATGGTGACAATTAGGTAGGATAACAACTAGCTTATACACACAATGCTGGAAAGTACAGCATGAAAATTAAGTGGAGAGGCAGCACAGAGGCTATACAGTTATATGACTGGACTAGGACGCCTTTCTGTGTGGAGTTTTCATGCATGTTCTCCCTGTGTATGAGTGGGATTCCTCTGCTCTGGTTTCACCCACAGTCCAACGACACATGGTTATAGGTACATTAGATAATCTAAAGTGTTAATGGGAAAGTTTATGGGTGGTTCCCAGCACTGGGGATTTGTGAGTAAGTGTACTCTCAGAGCTGGGTATTGGCTGAAATAGCATTTGCCAGGGCCGGAGTGGGACTCCTTTTCAGACCTGGAGTTTCAAGCCTCAGACCGGCCCACCTCAGTTCACGACTGACTATATTGAAATAAGGTCATTTCCAATTCAGTTTCTAATTACATTATCACGTCTTTTTTGAGAAAACAGCTGCTTTAGAACTTCAAATGTTCAACAACCCTAACAGTATTAAATGTCTTAACAAAAAAAAAAAAAAAAAAAAAACTCACGAGGATCATCCCTGGGTCGGTGGTATCAAAACCTAACGTGCTAACCACTCGACCACAACAGTTAAATGATACTTGACCTGCAGGCTGCATCTTGTTCATGAGGCTGCGAGAAAATAGATAAAAAGAGCAGAGCTGCGGTAAAATATTGAATAAGAAGACTGTGGTCAAGTAAATAAATGCATTAATTTAAAAAGTGTGACTGCTGAGAGCAACAGATTCTGGAGCTATCGGCCCTCGCGGCCAAAAAACGGACCGGCCCACCGGGAATTCTCCCGGTCCTCCCGATTAGCCAATCCGGGCCTGGCATTTGCTGTGTAAAACCTGCTATATACTTTCTAAAGTGAGTGAGTGAACTATGGGGAGGCAGGCATATAATTGATTTATATCTGCATAATTACACTTTGAAGGTAAAATGCTGAAGTTTTGCTTGATCTTACCGATGTTGAGAGATTTAAAAAATGGTTAAATTACAGCTATTAACAATTAAAAAAATACTGTACTAGTAAGGGTCAATATGTATCACTAAATGAATGAAACAATTTGAAGATGAAACTGGTGATTTTTATACTCCATTAAGGTAAGTCAAAAGGAACTATTGTGTTGAACATGAGGTGTTAATTGATTAAAAGGTAATTACAACTTTTCCCCTCCTAAAGTTTTGGGTCTTAACCAGGGGTGGCCAAACTTTTTTTTTTTTAAGAGATAAAATGCAATAAAAATAAAATGCATAAAAAGCTTGATTGAGAGCTGTGGCCCAAAAGTAAATCTAGCAAACCCTGGGTAATTTCCTAATTTATTTAATAATATTTGTAAATAATTAGAAAAAAAAAGCATTACTTCAACTGTATTTACTAGTGAATTATTCATTTTTTGAAAATGTATATTATTTTAACTCTCTTATTACAATGAAGCCATTAAATATTTTATTAATTTTTAAAAAATCCAAACAATAGAGTTTACTGCCGACACTAGTCATGGTGAACTTGCCTTTACCTTGATTTGTACGCTGATGTCTTCTACTTCTACTGATGTCAGCTTTGTGCCATTTATTTTTGATGGAAACTATGATTATCTATCTATCTATCTATCTATCTATCTATCTATCTATCTATCTATCTATCTATCTATCTATCTATCTATCTATCTATCTATCTATCTATCTATCTATCTATCTATCTATCTATCTATCTATCTATCTATCTATCTATCTATCTATCTATCTATCTATCTATCTATCTATCTATCTATCTATCTATCTATCTATCTATCTATCTATCTATCTATCTATCTATCTATCTATCTATCTATCTATCTATCTATCTATCTATCTATCTATCTATCTATCTATCTATCTATCTATCTATCTATCTATCGTAACAACGTAAAAGTCTTTATTATTGTTCTTTTGTTGTTTTTGTCTTTTGTAAAACCATCAGACAGGAATCAGATTATGGTGGGTAAACACTGAACGTTGTGTGTAGGCTTCCTTGTTTGTGGTCCATTAGCGCCCCCTGTAGTCTAAATGTTATACGAACATCTGTTCCGCATAGGCCTACATTCCCTCGAGAATCACTTTTGCCTTGTCCTTGAGTGATACCAAAATAGATTCGCATTTCTAACGATGAAAAGATTTGTTAACCGTTTTCTGTGACGGAGTAGCTTAGGCTGATTTATACTGTATTGTCTGAGGAAAGGCAAAAGTCTTTGCCTTCGAGATACTCTTATAGCTAAACCCAAACAAGTTAATCAAGGTCGGCAGCTTTACTAGAAGGCTACATGGATGTGAGTTTGATCAAAGTTGGAGCTGAACTCTGCTAAAAAATTGGGTCTCAAAGGCCAGATTTGTCCATCCATGATCTAATCTGTGATAACATCACAGCACCAGAGGGCGACATTTCTTCAGTCATTTTACACTTCTTTGGTGGGCAGCAAGTCGTTTTTAAAGTACACAAATCAAGTGAGTAAAAGTACAGATTCCCTTATAAAATATTACTCTGTTCAAAATAGTAGGTACCTTTTTACTTAAAGTATTAAACCTTTTTTGATTAATGATTGTTTTATTTTGCGGGAAAACTATTAACAACCTGTTACATAATGAAAACTACTACCGATAATTTATTAAAACTGAAGTGTGCAAACAAGTGATAACAGCAAAATATGACATAGACCAGCTGAAAATATAGGCTGTAATTTAACAACAGACAAAATGTGTTACATTTTACATAGGAACACTCATATATATATACATGTTATGCAGCAGTAAGTTAGATGGACAGTTATTATTGTACAGCTATTACTGTAATGGAACATGATCATCATTTTTTCTGTAGGGTTTTCTCCGTTCGGCCCAATGGGTGGAGGAAGCTTCAGCTCATTTTCATCGTCTCCATTTGGTGGTGGAGGTGGGATGAGAAACTTCACCTCCATTTCCACATCCACCAAATTCATATGGCAATTAATTAGGTATTTTGTGAAAAGTGATTAGTTAACTTACCTAAATAAAATAGTAAACCCTTTACCTTAATAGCAATAAGTTGATCTAAAAGAGAAAACCCGCTTGAACTTGGAACTGTTGACAACTTCAGTCAACTAACCGATATTTAGAGTATTTAAACTAGAGTATGTTTGGGTTATTTTGAGTCTGGATTGTGAATTCAGTGAATCCTCAAATGGACATTTGCTCTGACCTCAGATCATTTAAATCAGTAACTTGAGAGCAGATTAGTCAATTGTATGAATGAATTGTGATTTGTGAACTGATTCGACGGTAACTGAAGAATTCAGCTAATTGTGAATGTCACTTACATGTTCCTGAATGGGTGACATTTCCTCTAGTTTAAGACTATTTACATTTTATTTAATTTTTTTTTAATTTATATAAATATTATCCTGCCACGAATGTTTTACTGATACTTTTTAGCTTTGTATGTCAACCATAAAGATTTATATTACAACAGTTTTACAACAGTGAATTAATGACTCCAGATGTGTTTATTTTTAAACCAGTTCTGGCAGAAAGCAACCCAAAAAAGGGTCTTATTGTGGTTGACAAATGGAAGCAGTCACCAAATGCAGACTATAAGGACACAAAAATCTATATAGACAAATTTAGACCTTAATTTCCTTTCTACACTTTTTTACTTCTCTCTGATAAATGATCCAAATTTGATCAAAATGATCCAGAACTGTGATGAAACCGGAAGCTGAAAGCATCCAGAGGCTGATGAAGAGTTTCCCCCCCTTCATGTTTTACCACTGTTCTCCCAAGGCTTATGAAAGATGGTGAAGATAGGAGTGATGGAGGAGGAAAACATGAGGCCAGCTCTGGGTTTGTGTTAGCGCCTGCTGTGATGCTATCAGACTGCCTGAACAGTGGGAAGCGGCTGCTGTTGATGATGGCCTTGCTTTCCTAGTGAATGTTTCTTGTGTTAGGGAGAATGGATATTTCTAAGGTTATTAATGGAAATCCTGTTTAACTTTTCAGTGATGGTCATTATTTATCTGTTGTTTGTTTTACATGTGCATTTACATTATGCAAGGTTTATTTATTTTGGCTTATGTTGATATGGCAGGTTGATTGGGCGTAAATTATTTTGATATCTAACTGCGGATGTAGCATCTGCAACATTATTCATTTATTCTGTGGACAGCAGTTTCAGTTGGTCATGTTACCACAGCATGCAAACTCTCATCAAAGTTATCCAGGCAAGGATCAATATTGCACTTGGAAAGCACAGATAAATGCATTTACATATTTATAAAAAAAGAATTAAAACAGCTGAGGTTTATGGCATTTTATCAGAAAAAGAAATAGTCATACTAAAGTGCAATACCTGTAAAAAGAAAGTTATTTTAAGTAGTAAACTTCATGATTGTTACTAAGTTCACTGGAAAACCACCCATTGACACTACTTATAAATACTATTTTACTTTTTCACCAAAAAATGTTTCTCATTTCTTAATGTCATAAATATTAATTAATAAAAAAAAACATAATTATAAAAACATAATTATTTTAGACTTAACAGGTCACCATAACAAGCCCCATACCAATTACCTGCTTAAACAAGAACGTTTAAAACAGAAAGAAAAACCGAACAAAGAAAAAATGGCTTATTAGTATTAAAGGACTGCATTTTAATTGTTTTCCTTGAAAATATTTAGGCTATTATTCCTCGCCACTCAAAGTAATTAAATGATAATGGATTGGAACATTTGCTGTTATCACTGCTGTAACCCACAT